TAATAATTATCAAGGAATTAATAAATATTAGAAGCAATAAATGCTCCTTTGTAATCACAGCTTTACGATAAACATTACAAATTAATTTTGTAGAGAATTGTAAAGGTTAGGAAGTGAAGTTATTAAAATAATAAAGATATTAAGGAAATACAGAAATAATACGAGTATTAAAATAAATACCGAGATATAATAAAATAGGGAGTGTGCCAACAAGTCACTCATGATATAACCCATTTGCATAATCATTTTTCTTAAATTTGGCAACAAAAATATCCACAAAATGGAAATCCTACGGTGCAGTAAATTATCCCATTAAATATTCCTCCATAGTATATACCAAAAACTACGACTTATCAAAGGAAACTGGCAAAACCACAACATATAAAACGCTCTACTATTACACTCGTCCTATAAAATTTAAATACCTGCTCCACACAAACTTGGTGTTCCAGTCACCAAGAAAGATTCAGGATCCATATCATATTCGACATTCTACCCCAACTGGTTTATACTCAAGTACATATTTCGAAATATCATTCAAATTTTGACTCTATTCTTACATTCTTCTAACCTATCTACAATTTTCACCCACTCTTGTCAAACTAAATCATCACCCCAAAGTATTATATATATTTTATACAATAAAACTGGAATTAATCAATTAACCCTTTACACTCGGCGACCTTGTCGTTACAGAAACATAGCAATTCAAAGACTTTCTGCCATAAAGTCGAGGGTATTTTTAAAGCGGTATATAAGAAGTGCAAATTAATTATAAGAAGTAGAATTATTTTACCTCGATATTCCACGCTTCATTGGGCAATTTTAAGTTGGAGATATTAATTAACAACGATCTTTAGAATTTAATTAAATGGCGACTGAGAGTCACCTTTCGAGCGCAAGGGGTTGAAATAGTCGAGTCTAGTTCGATACAGGATAGCAAAGGCTCGAGTTCCAATTTTCTAAAGGAAATTCCAAAAAACATCCTTCACCAATCTCTTTTCGCTGTACTCTTCGTTTCACTCTGAACCAAGTCTAGCTAACAAGATACACACAACTGCTCATCTTCAACATCTTCGTATATGGAAAGGGCGTTAAACCTCGTGTCTTCTAGAAGGGTTATCATCCGACTAGAATAAACAACCTCTGTTCACCAACAGAGGCATGCAAATCCAAAGAAGAAGAGAGAAAGAAGGGACAGAAGTCGAAGGAACGAAACATACAGAGAACTTTCTCAACCTACCTCGATCCTTCGTCCGTTGGCCGGTTCTTAGGGGTGTCGGTTTAGCAGGGGTAGGCCCGTGCTAGGGGAGAATTTGGAGGGTTCCGATATAAAAGATTCGTTGGGAACCGAGGCCAAGATTCGATCACAGGCCATTGTAAGACCTCGATTCTACTCGCGGCCGTTGCCACACGCTCTGCTTGCCTCCGATTTTCTCAAGGCCGACTGTTAACGACTCATCGGGGTAACTCGAAGCTGAGTGCTTGTCCTCTGGGAATTTTCGCAGATCTCTAGGAGCGATGTCCTCTGAACTCGAGGATATATTTAACGAACCGAGTGAAACACGACTGATATGGGCAACAAGGGATGATTGTGTTCGCTCTGCAGGTTGGGGAATCGAACTGACTCCTTTATCGGGGTTTTATTTTATTTCGTGAAATCAGGAGGAGGACTTTAGGATGTTTCTCAGGGATGTAAAATATTGGGAATAGCAGAAATGGTATAATTGAAGTTTTGTATTATACTCATTTTTGCTAAAATCTTATTTATTGCATTTATGATGATTAACATTGAAATTATCAGGAAGATCTAACTAACGTGTTTTCATTATTTTATTTTTGAAATTTTCGAGAATATTTAGTTGCTCTTGATAGAATTAACCCTTTGCATTCGACGATTTTGTCGTTAGAGAAAAATAGTAATTCAAAGACTTTCTGCCATACATAAAAATATATTTTTAAAACGATAAATAGGAAATCGTATGCAAATTAAGACGTACAATTATTTTACTTCGACGTTTCACGCGTTATTGAGTAGTTTTAAATTTAATGTATTAATTAAGATCGACTTTTAGAATCTGATTAAATGGTGATCGACAGTCGCCTCTCGAGTGCAAAGGGTTAATACTGACTTTTATTTAGATAGAAATATAGTTACGTATAATTATTTATATTATATGTATATTTTAAAATCTATTTGATATGATATATTTTAATTATAATATAATGGCGATAAAATATCTTGTAATATTATTTTCAAGTGTATTGTAAAATTTGGAATATATTTATTCGTTGTTATATTTATCCGACTTAATCGATAAGACAGGAAGGAAACAAAAATACGTATAAAAACTTTTTTTATTGGTTGATGTATTATATATGGTGTATAAGGTTCGGGTCATTTGAAATTTTAAAAAGTCAAAGTATGGTGTACATCGAGTGAAATGATAAATAATAGACATACCATCCTCAGACGATATTTGCACAAAACATCATAGTTGTACGTTTATATAAACTCTACTTAATATTACCAATGATATACATTATAATATATAATATTTAACAACTATGTAATTATATATGTCATATATTATGTATTATAATATATAATGTAAAATCAAATAAATTCTTAGTTCTCAGAATTATTACTAAATACATATTATTCTTGAGTAAATTAGAAAAGCGAAGATTCTTGTAACATAAAACTCGAATATCAAATTTCCAAGATGAAAATTTTCAAATCTTTCAAATTTTATCCTGTGAAAAGAAAATTCGATTTTTTCCGCAGATATTGAAAATTCGAAATAAAATATTTCAGAGGTATAATAAAAATATAATAGAAATTCATGCAATTTCCAAACGATGAATTAACACGTGACAGAATATATTCCCAAAATAAACCCTTTACGCTTACCCTGCAAACATTTGCTGAAATTATTTCTTCTGATCCAATAATTCAATGTATAGCATCTAGCATCACCAATTCGACGATTTAGGATCCGTTTCACTCGCACTGCTGATGGATTATCCAATTTTACATTTAACACAGCTCGTTAATCGAAACTTCTTTGACGCTGTCGCCGGCATGTTCAACGGCGCGAATAGGTGTTTACTTGTGCAGGAAGATGGAATTGGACCACGCGAATCGCGAGAAAATTGCAACCAAATTTCCCGTCCCCTCGAGCACCGACTTACACAGGATCGTGGGTGCGAGAAAGAATCGGGAACGAGGTTCCGAGTGGAAAATACCGATCTTGGTCACGTTAGTTCGCACCGCGATCCTTCGCGAAATTGCACCCTTTGACGCGATAGTGTGGCAGCTCTCAAAGCAGGGAACACGTAGCTACATGGTTCGAATCAGAATGCAATTTAGCCCGTGTCCAAACGCACGGTGCGCAGCACACGTTAAAGGAATAAATAATTGGGAAGTCTCGATGAAATTGGTCCCGTGCACGTAGGGGCATTGCGCAGACATGTCCCAGAAACGTTTCGTAACTCGCAATTTCCTCTGCGATCGCTTCTCCTCTGACACGTTTTCATGACAGGCTTTCATCTGTATTTTTTGTCTTCCCTCTTCTATATGCTTGCGTCATCGTCATCGCTACATCCATTTTCCCGGCTCCCTTTTAAAATGTCAAGGGCAAACAAAAGGAACGCGAATGCTTTGTCTTTTTGGTTCATTTCAATCGCTTCATTGGATTAACGGTCCAATTAATTGGTATTACCATAACGCTATCTGCTTTGATACACGATATTAACACGTAATCTCGTTGACCAGCAACCACAGGCACCCTGTTACGTCACGCAACCGACCGCACGGTGCATTTTATGCACCCCTAAGTTCGTGTACGTTAGCTATCGTTGAAACGAGATTCGTTTCACAAATTTCCGTTTTGTGTTTGTTGCAATTTCTTTATTTATTACTTACCTGTGTATTCGTCTTTTAGGGTATTGTATTTTTTATGCAATATTTTTTAATCGTAATGGCAAACAATTGGCGAGATGATACACTTGGATTACTTGAAAACGATAATATTATGAAAATAAATTAATACGGATAAAATGAAGTACTTATTTTTATTGAAAGTAAATTTTTGTTTCTCTTCGGATATTGATATATCCGAACTATTCATCCCCTGATTAATCAACGAGTTGAAATCCTATTAACATATAAGAGAATATAAGCAAATTTCACTTTTCCAAAATTTTTTAAATTTTAATGACAAATTATTTGTTCGATGTTAACTTATTTGGGTATTGAAACTAAATATTTTGTTTCTCTTTGGATATTGATATATCCAGACTATTCATCCCCTGATTAATCAGTGAGTCGAGATCTTATTAATATGTAAGTTAATATAAGCGAATTCTACTTTCCTAAATTTTTTTTTTAATTTTAATGACAAATTATTTGATCCGTGCTTAATGTGAGTAAATGGATAAATTGATAAAAAGATTTATTTAACACAATAACAGCACAACATAAATTATAACTAAATCTCGTTAAATATATTCGCTTCTAACTGCGATATAATCTCTCGAGGACTCTTTCACACACAACGTCTATATGGAATGACTGTCATTCACCTACTGATTGTTTTTTCGCGACTGTCTGTCATACTCGTCACTCACACATTCTTCCACACAAACATTCCTCACACTTATACCACACATTCTATGACAACCACTACCACGCTTAACTTATTTGGGTACTGAAACTAAATTTTTCGTTTCTCTTTGGATAATGATATATCCAGACTATTCATCCCCTGATTAATCAGTGAGTCGAGATCTTATTAATATGTAAGTGAATATAAGCGAATTCTACTTTTTCAAATTTTTTTTTTATTTTAGTGGCAAATTGTTCGATCAGTGCTTAAAGTTTTATATGTATAATGATTTTATTTCATCATCTTTTGTGGTGTTAATCGAATCGGTAAATTAATAGCTCGATAATAAACCATGGAAAATTAATTTCTCCTTTTCTTGTGTCTTTGTAGAAGCGAGAGAGGTCACCAGGAAAAAGAATGGACCGACTTCGACGGAGTTTTCGCGATAGCTTTCGACGGCGGAAAGATCCTCATGTTCCAGAATCAAGTAAACCTCACCAATGGCAGGCAGATGAAACGGCTGTCCGCTCGGCTACGTGCGCTTTCCATGTCAAGGTAAACATTAATTAACAAATTAAATTGAATCCTCGATTTTTCAAACTGTTGATTTGCAAAAATTGAACTGTAAATACACGTTGGATAAATATTTCGTTTCATCGATGAAGCTATTTATAATTTAGCGTTTGAAACCTTGGGTATAGGAAAAGAGTAATAATAATGTTAATTAATTTGATGTTGCATTTTTTATTATTTTCTGTTGGACCGAAAGAAAAGATAAAAATTCAATTTTGGTGAATAAAATTTCCGCGAAGATAATCTAACGTGGACAAACCGTGGATTATAAATTTGATCGTATGAGAGAAAATACTTTCATGCATCACGGACACGAGTACTCGTGAACACGTGTGTAATCGAAAATCGAACGAGCAATGGCCGTAAAATTGGCACATACCCAGTTAATCGATATTCGAATAACAGGGGTGCCATTATATTATACCTTACTAATATGTAGCTCCTTCAATTTCGATAGACTGTCTCGTTATTCCGAACATGTCCATTGCTTTGTCATCTAGTTATGGTTATTCGATATTAATAAACTTATAGTTTGAAACACGGATTAACGTCGTGAAACATTTTTTACAATTGAAGAACGGTTTTCTTCTGATCTCCTAATTTATTATTTTTTAAATTCCAAATATTATTATTCTTTTCTATAATTCTTGGTAATTTAAATGTACCTAATATTTATTTCGAAAATAATGAACTTTAATATTACACGATCTAATTGTAGATTACTGCGAGATACCTGATAAGATAGAATAATATTTTTGTTTTTAAATGGTATCGTTTTTTTTTATTATCTTTCTTTGTATTATCGTTGAATTTCAGATATCATTGTTATTATTCCTGGATATATATTCCATAGTATAATGAAATTTCAAATATTATACCGTTTATCCACATATATCAATTTCTATAATAACTTTAGATAAATTAGTTTAAAATAATTCGGAAACAAAGTGAAAATTTAAAGTATCGGTGAAATACACTGCATTCTTAGAAAATACTGTAGATCCACAGTTTCTATTATCTCTTTTGTAAATCCTACTGTATCAACCGAACTCGACTCTATTTGCACGTATTGATTAATCCTATCAATTGCAATTGCACAGTACCTGGGATGTGTCGAGGTGTTTGAGTCAAGGGGCATGCAAGTATGCGAGGAAGCTCTAAAAGTACTTAGGGTAAGTGACACAAAACACCTTTAATGTCTTTGCCAACGAAGCTGCTCGGTTTGGCTGACTAAACATTATTGAATTCATTGGAAACTTCTCAGGAAAGTTATTGCATTATATTATCTCTCTATAACGACTTATAAGCTTAGGCTAAAGCGAGTAACTTCGTTTTCTGAATTTTTCCAAATTTTGCCAAAGCACTTGATCGATATCTTATCTTCTTATATTTAAAATATTATTTAATTTTTATTTTTTAATTCTCATTTTACTTTGTCATAACAATTATTAGCCTTCAAATTTTAGATTATTACGAGAGACTATAATTAAGTAGAATTTCTTATCTCGCAAATGAAGTGATAATGATATATTTTTCATATCCATAATATATAGTTCCATGCATTCGAATACTTTTGTAGATTTAAATTTAAATCTTTAAATTTTTACACTATTTTACAAAAATTATTACTAGAATTTCCAAATTTCACAAGAAAACTAATTTAACAGTAAAATAAAAATACATCCTTCGAAGAACAACCATCTCTACGATACCTCGCGAAAAATATCAAATATTTTGCATACTATAATAACCCTTCATCGACAATTCTAATCAAATTATTCCTTGCTTCTTCAAATTTCGTAAAATATCATTCTAAAGATTATCCTTATTCACTTTCAATTCTTAGAATAATAAGATTTCGAAATCCAATTAGAAGAAACTGAAAATAAAATGAGAAATAAGATTGCTCTGTTATTGCTGGGTAAAATGAGAAGAAAATTCGATATTTCCGACATTTCGTTTTAAATCGAGCGCGCCATCTTTACGAATCGCGTGATATCTACGCGTCTGCTCGTTCGAAGATATCAAAAATTAAATTTATCGTTGGAAAATGAAATTCTTGCAGAACTCGAGGCGGCGGCCGGTACGCGCAGTGCTACACGTATCAGGGGACGGTTTGCGGGTCGTTGAAGACGAGACAAAAGGACTGATCGTCGATCAGACGATAGAGAAGGTTTCCTTTTGTGCTCCGGATCGGAATCACGAAAAGGGGTTCAGTTACATCTGTAGAGACGGCACGACCAGACGGTGGATGTGCCACGGGTTTTTGGCGTTGAAAGAATCGGTAAGTGCAGCATATCTGATCAACTATCTTGACTTTCCTGTTTCTATAACTGACGGAATGCCAACTATCGTGTCAATTTATGTCATAATTTACAAACGATTTCATCCATGGTACACTATATCTTCGTAATTGAATTCGAACCAAATGTAATATTCACAGATGATAATAATAATAAACCTCTTCGGGGACGAATTATTTTTAAGTTATCATTACGATGATCTCCAGCAGTGATTATAAAGTAGAATAAACCGCTATTAGCGGTGATATTCGACGAGGTTTACTGTTCAGGGATTCTATGGTGAAATAGTTGTCCAATTAATTCTAATTTCCTTTCCATTTATAATAATCGTGATGTAAAAGAAACTAAACGTACATGTATCAGCCAATATCCCTGAAGAGGTTAAACTGGTATGGTGACATAATAAATACGGAAAAAATCGTGTATAAACCAGAACTCGTTCTCAGTCATCTCAAAGATTATTTCTTTCGTTAACCACTAGCAGCAGAGAAAGATTCCTCGACTACATAATCCCATAAGCAACGAACCATCGAAGCTAACTGTTACAAAATAAATACACGTTGTTCTTATTAGATCTATATGTTTATTTACACTGTAATTTCCGGCATCCGAGGTTCCATTTTCCGAATATTCCATTATCCGAACAGCGTTTCGTGACAATATTTACAAACGGTATACGTACTTATAATTTCCCACGTTTAACTGAATGTATCCTAACCAGGACAATTTTGCGCATAGATAACAGCGTGTGTTATTACAATTTAAACAAAACGAAAACGTATAAATATCGAGACTAAATATGAAATAATATAACTAGGTGAAGACATAAGGTAATATGAAAACATAAAGATGACAATAGTAACGAGGATATCGTCGAAATAAATTTAACAGAAGCTGAGGTAACGAATTAAATCCGAAGTATTCGGAGCACTCGAAATGGGATTTCGTTGATTCGAGGCATGAACCGAATATAATTCGATACATTTACTTACATCACAAACGTTTATGTAACTTAGCAGCCAAAAAGATACGGGATCTATAAGCGCGTAGATAAACTGCGAATTTTGTTTTCTTTACGTAAAGAATTTAAGTCCTTTTGAAGAAATATAGATTTCTTTTCGGAGAAATAAAATTAAAAATTTAATTTAATTAAATTAATTTAAATTTTAATTCAGTTAAAAATTTAAGTTTCTGGCTTAATAAATGAATAAATGAAATCACTGTTATTTCGGATACGAGAGGTTCCACTGTGCTTTTCATTCTAGACATAGGTGATCTTCGTATAATTTATAAACAGCGCATGAAAATTGTTGTATTGTAATATAGATTTAAGTTCTCAGAACGAAATGAAAATTTCATTGAATGAAATTCGATATAATCAATATTGGCTGAAATTGGGTTAGAATTACAGTATTATTTCTAGCTTTGTGATATCGATCACGCTTCGACGTTACAGGAAGAGGTACTGAGATCAACGTGCCAATAATAATACTCGATGGGTTTTTCCAAGTTAACACTTAATATTCAACGTGTGCTTTTAGGGTGAACGATTGAGTCACGCTGTGGGCTGCGCTTTTGCTGCGTGTCTGGAAAGAAAGCAACGAAGGGACAAGGAATGCGGTGTCACGATGACGTTCGATTCAAAAACCTCTACCTTCACGAGGAGCGGCAGTTTCAGGCAGCCATCTTTAACCGAACGATTGCAGGATTCACGCGAACGCGCCGTAGGTCAGTGACTTTTCTTCCCGATATACATTCGCTATATTTGCAAAAGAAAATAGCACAAGATAGCTAAAAATTTATTACCCCTTCTACTTTTTAATTTCATATGATTTTAACACCGAAAAATAAACGTGCACGTTTATTTTTATAATTTAATTACCACGTTTAGTTATATTTAATTTTCTAGTTTATTTTCCTATATCTGAATTATCGTGCTTTAAAATGTGACGAATAAATCCGATGGCTTGCAATTCGTGTCTGAGAGTATAGATAACTTTAGTAGTCGTTAAAGTTAGTTTTAAAATGCAAGAAGATTGTTAATTTTTTATGAAAAGTAACGAAATGTAATTCAAACGTATAAGGACAAAAATTGAAAATAAAATCAGCGAATTTTCGTGTCGAGTCGAGCTCGTTTTAATTTCGATTCATTAGGCTGAAATACATGCTTATATGACTAATAATAATTTCTTTGAATGAAACCGCTAAGACGTTTTGAGTGTTCCAAGAAAGATCGTATGGTTTAAGATTATTCAACCACTTAAACTACTTTTACGATGAGGCCAGTGCAATGAACTAATAAAGTGTTTGATCACAACTTCTGTTTCTTCACCACGAATTTTTATATGTTATATAGACAAATATGTTTAGATATACTGCATTAAGAGTAAGACAACATATGAAATTAATCGTGAAATTTACAATTGTTTTGTAAAATCATTCATGTCAGCTAAGGAACTAAATGTCAGAAATTTACTTGAAGTTCATTTTTATTATGAACGATTGAAACTAGTTTATACTACTTTTTCTAACCATAAAACGAGGAGTAATAAAGGCATCGCTAACTATTTTTCTCTTGAACTTACTTACGTTCTAAAGAGTTTAAACTAGTTCGGCATCCTAAAGATGGCAATTAACTATTAGGTATTTTATTTCCCCATACAATCTTTTGAATTCCAGGAATGATTACGATTTTTACATCGATTAATTTCAATAATTTCAAAGAAATATAACATTATGCACAAGAAAATTTTTCCTTCTTTTAACTGTCCTTGAATTTCAGATATTATCACTTTCAATACAGTACTCATGCATCTGTTTATGAAATTTTCGTTTGATTTTTACGCATGAGGGAATAGTATAGGGAATAATATAGGGAATAGAATTGACACAGAAGATGATAGTCTTAAAATATATTTATTATGAGCTAAATTGCACATGTCTCTCTTTACATGACTCTTTTTTACATTACTGTTCTTCTATATGACTGTCCCCGCTTAGTAATTTGGCCTCCTTTTATTCCCTTACACACGCTACACACTCATACAACGTATCCCAAAAATTCCACGTGTATTCTAAGAAGTCATTCGCCTTCGTCGCATAATTTAACGTAAACATTCTCCGGATCCGCTCGTCATTCGCACCGACATTCATCCGTAATATTCTCTCTATCAGAATGATTAAAAACTGTATAATATTACTGCAACATGAGGAAACTTCGCTTAAAATTCTAAAATCTCGGTATAATTACCACCCTCACAAATATCCTAATTTAAATATTGTCTCTACTACTGTATACTATTATACAGGATGTCTCACCTAACTCGAGCATTTAAAATATCTCGCTTGCTTTTTATGATAGAAAGAAAATTACCACCCTCGCGAATATTCTAATTCATATCGCAATTAACCCTTTGCGCTCCGTTGGCTCCGCTACGGAGACATCCGTCATTTGTTCCGTAAATCCGAAGGCTCTGCTGCGAAGCCCTCAACAGCTCTTACGGGCACCATAAATCCTCGGGAGGTTCTTCGAAGGGACCAAGGGTCCGCTATATCTTATATTTGCAATTGGGAAATGCATATTTATAAAATAAATAAAATCAAATACTTTCGCAAGGACTGGTAACCCTTTTTCGTTCAAAATAAGACTTCTTTTATCTCAGGCACTTTGCTCCAAAAATGTGCCAGAATTGCTGGAAGGCAGTACTCGCGAAGGGCGCTAAGGGTTAAAAGAACAAAATTATATGCTATATCGCATGCAAGAAAATTTTGTGAAACGTACATCTCTGATAATTGACCATTTCGTTACAGACGTGCCTCCGATAAAGCAGGTCTACAATCCTTTCGCGATCGAGAGACCGCACGCAACCCCGTCTATGCTGGAACGACAAGGTTCCTTCCGCGGTTTCACGCAACTGAACCAAGCATCTCCGTTCAAAAGACAGCTTAGTTTACGGATCAGTGATCTTCCTAGCAACCTTGAACGCACACGTAGCCACAGTCTCGAACCGACGGATCTGTCACGGATGCCACCGACTATGTCTCACATCGTACCTTTGAAGCCACCAGGTAAAGCTTCTAATTAGAGTTTCCACGATGAAAAAGCAACCATGCAGATATGTACAATAATCTTATCTGTATCTACATATACGATAGACCCGTGTATGTTTGGTGTTAATCCTATACCACCATGTACCATACACACGTATACCATGCGGATACCATGAGGGTACTTAATCGAAGTACTTACTTGATCAACCTGGGTTCAGAACATTGAGGAATACGATGAGTAAGATAAACTGGAGACTTCAAAATATTGTCGCAGTCAAAGTCAAAGTTGCGGAGATGGAAGAATTGTTGAATGTTATAGACTGTGTGTATATAAAAAGAGGCTAAAGGCAGTTGGTGTGAATTGTATCTTCTATGGGGCTAACTATGTGGGGCTAAAAATGATAGGGAAAGTGGTTGAATGTTTTTGCGATATCGATTTTTCTTTTCTTTTTTTTTTCTCTCTCAAGTGCTTCGTTTTTTTTCACATACAATAATGTAATAAAACAATTTGATATTTCGCTTTAATCGATTCTTTTGAACTCTTTGTGCATAAATTTGTTCAAGCAAGGTAATTAGAAATAAGCGATATACAGGATATTCTTTTATAAAATATATTTCTTCGAGGGTTGTTTTAATGTTTTCTGTATCATTGTTGTGGTTGTCATAATAGTATGAACTAGATTTTTGTATCTGTGTCATTGTTTATTTCTTCATAATCTGATTTCCCGACAGAAATTATCTGAAGACTTTTCATGTATTTAAACTTCTATGTTGTTAATTAAAAAATTAATAAATTTTAATATTTTGTATATTATTAAATAGGGTATATGGATTTTATATCCATATAAGAGTGCAATTGGGTAGAAAATTTGTGAAAGAATTTAAATTTGTTATTTGTATAGGAGGCATAGTTATATATGATCATATAAACGAATTAAATTTACAATTAAAAAATCATGGGAAAGCATAAATGACTTCTTATGATTATCAATTACATAAAAGTTCTAAAAATATATTGAATTAACAAATCTTGCAAAATACGTGAAAGATAACACCCATTGAAATTATACATTGATAAATTTGCACTAGTTTTTTAATGAAAAAATAATTAACTTACTATCTTTGTTACTATTTTATAATTGTCGTTTTATTTATTATTTTGTTACAATCATAAAGTTATTTTGAGATCTTCAATTTATTTTTAAAATATTCTTTCAAATTATTATCTTCCATATGTTGTTTATATTAATGTATTTAAATCACTCCCGACACCAAATAATATACTTCTTCGTTTTTGCAACAGAATTCGAAGGATGTGACGAAGGTCATTATTCCCTATTCTGTTAATTGTCCATATTGCCTGACCCTCCTTTGATGTTTTTGGATGGTGCTCGTTTTCTCCCTTGTGTTTAAATATATTATTGTATTCGATATGTTATTCGTTTAAATATAGTACAACGGATTGAACAAGTAGAGGAAGTGGAAAGAAAAGTACAACATTCTTTACGATTACGACAATCCCATAGTTCTCTAAATGTTCCCGTTTTAAAAAGTATTTTCACGCTTTAAATTTTATTTTCCAAAGTCGTAGTTCATTTATATACACAATAACAGAAATAAGATGTCCTCGAAATATACAGGCTTACTGATTATTTTCTATGTAATTAAAATAACTATAAACACAATTAAATAATTTACTAAGTAACTATAAAATTTATTAAACAATTATAGATATTACTTTTTCTAAAATAAAAATTTGATGTTCGTTCTCTTCTAATGAATATGTATTTTTGTTTTTTGTTTTTTTTTATTATTAAAAATCACTATATTTACATCGAATGACGTTCAGATTTATTTTCTTATCTTTTATACAGTTTCTTGTAAAAAGATTTGGATCCAAATTTACTAAATGCTTATTAATCCTTTGTGGACTCGTCTGTGGACAGTAGCCTAAGGTTTTTCGCTTTGCTTCATCTGTAGATAGCTGTTCAAGTATTTTTACAGTTCCTGAAGAATGTCTGTGTATGAGTAAATTACAAACGTAGGAGTTCACTCTGTAATTTGGTCAAAATTTTCTTCAAAACATTTTGCTTCCTTATATCTATCATAAATTTTTTAAAACAAATCTTGGTTTCTCTGATTAACCGCAATCCTGCCCACAAAAAGGTTAAAAAATAATAAATAATCAAAAAAGTGCTGTTTGCTTTAGATAAGTATCTTTTCGCCTAAATATCTTTAGTGAATCCACAGAATACTATAAGTCTGTAATTTCCTGGATCATTTGTTTTTAACATCTTATATACCACTGTTAGACATTTAACACGTGTTTACGTGTCTGTAGCATGCGTTCTGTAGTTCCAAGCACCAACTCGAAGCACCAAATTATAGTATGTTAGTAATGTTCATTATCTAGGGTAGTCGATGTACTAAAATTCCATTCTTGTTTTTACAGTTAGTCCAATACCTGAAATATCACCGGGAGGCCAAGACAGCGTTTCAGCGATGTGTCAGCAGCTTTCACAAGGGCTTTCTCTTCTTTCGAGCAGCGACGACTTCGGACCAATTCCTACGCAGAGCAGTACAGGCTCTGTTGCTAAACAGCTCTTCAACAGCACCACTAATAATATTACATCAGGTATATTGTAAATCTGAGATGACAAATAAGATTTTTCCTTCAATTGTAGTGACCAAAATAATCACTAGTCAGGCTCTAATTAGGCTAAGGTTCTAGTATTAATGTAGCGTAATCAAATTCGTTTAAGACCAAAATTATTATATAGTATTCATGATCTCTGTACAGTGGCCAGCAGCAACTCCTTAGACGAATTGAAACTGCAGAATGGTCCGAGTCTGAACAACAATAATAACAACAATAATAACGACAAGAACGATGATCTCAGTAATCTGAACCACGTTGGGCCCAGCTGGCAAGAATCTCCATCACCTGTCCTCGCTTCGAATCACAGGCTTACACCTATCCTGAATAAAACTAGTAACCTCAGCCCTATCCTTCCTAGAACGAACCCGCCTACACCAATTGTTATGAGCACTCCTGCACCCACCACTACTGTTGGCGTGTTTGGAACACCACCCTCGGTCAGTCCAGCCTTCAGCACAGCGTCTACGTCCTCCTTAGGGAACGCGTCCACGCCAGCCATAAACAGGTCGCCGATTCCAATGACTTCCGTGGTGACTCCGAAAACAAACTCACCGACCACCAGCGTGACATCCGTTTCTCCGGCTCTGTCTAGCAGCGGCGTTAGCGATGCTACCAATATTACCCAAGTCCCAGTTGCCAATACTATTTCCACACCAGTGGTAAGCAATCCTCGATCGTTAAAAATGAAACGTTACTACGTTCTATTAATCTCTGACGAAAGTTTTTCAAATCATGCACTTCTTAACCCCATGATGCCTATCTCTGTAAATAATAAGTATAAATGTGGAATTAAAATATAAAAATAAATACACTGAACTACAGTCTACCCAGTAATCAGCATATACAAACTAAGTCTATACCTTCCATTGACCCAATAAAAAGATTTCATGACTCTCTTCCATCATTTCAGGTCCAACCAGTTCCAACGACAGCAGCGTTGCCCAAACCAGAGCAATGGCTAGGTAGTATAACCAGCTCGGTGCCATCCTCAGTGCAATCTCCTCCGCAGGGACAAACAAGTCCCCGACGAGCGCCACCCCTCCACGCGAGGGCCCTGTCGCTCGGCTCGGCCGCAATGGGTCAGGCCACTAGAACCGGTCCATCCGATCCGTTCGACGCGGAATGGGCGGAGATCGCGGCGAGAAATCTGCGACAGTCGAACACGACGAACCCCTTCATAATGCCCAATGCGACGCAAGCGTTTCAAGTGCAATTGTAGCGCCAGGAGTTCATCAATAGCATTGCCAAGTACTTCCGTTCAAACACATAGTGACGACTGCATGTCCGTTCGCGCTTTGACCTCTCACATGACCGGAAGTATTATACGTGAGCTGGGTCAACCTCAACGGAATCGCGAGGTTTCCTGTATCGAGTATGGTGGTCCTCTAGCAAAGATTCTGGTCGAATGACACGGTCAAGCATCGTGTAACGTTAGAGGAATCCCGAGGAAATCTCGAGGAGAAGCGAGGAACGGAGATACGTATCGATCTCGAAGAGATGTTTAGTAGCAATGATATAGCAGCATATCAGCACTTCTCTCGATTACCAATTTGTAGCACATTCATTCCATTATTTGTTTCGCTGGAATGTTCGGATGTGTCTTGCATCGTATTTTCTTTACAGTACCTGGCCAGGTGCCCCTCTTCCTTGCACAGGAAGCAAGTAAGTTTTTCCGTAGATAGATAGATCGAATATACCGTGTCAGCGAATCTTATTTGAAGTGATTCTGGTATCTTTGGCAAGTCGTCCGGTTGTATGTACATTTGTCTCTCACGTGGTTATAATTAGGACCATTTATTCCCGCTCTGATAAATGTTATTTTAGATATTGGATGGATATTTAACTTGTCTAGCTCCTCTTCTATTACATGATGAGGAATTATGGCGCACACGTTAGATAGTATTATTCGTTTCAATTTCAATATAAGCGGACGTATTCCCAGTGTGTGTGTACCAATGTTTACCTTTATGTTGTCATTTGTGAGTTTATCAACTGATTCCTCGCTGTTAAGGTAGAGACATACATGGGAAATACGCGAGACAAATTTAATGTTTTTAGGATCGGTTAATAGTTCAATTGCCTTTACATATTCTTGAACTGATATTCCTTCAACGGAATCGAGTACTATGGTGTACTCTGTGGTAGGGAAATGTACTGGTTGAACCATTTGAGTATACGATGCTCTGAGCGGAGCTTTTTCTGAAGATGGAAACATTATGTCTTACAAACGATGGAGGAGGGTGCCCCTGTAGTCAGAAACACTTAACTTCGCGGATGATTTCTGTCACCGAAATTGCCCGAATGGGCAATCGTCAGCTTTTCTGTTTCAAACGAATACATGAATATACGATACGTAGAATTACACTTTACACTTGTAAACTACGCTGTGTGTTGCTAGAACGCACTAACTCGTAAACTGTCCTCGATGACGGTTGACTCATTGATGTCTTTTCTTTCCTTTCTTCGGTTCTATCTGTGTAGCCATTAACGACTATTTCTCGCCAGTTACTGATATTTCCAGCCGGATAAGTTTAACAGAATTTGTTGCACACAATTTATCGTACTTCTCCGGTCACTGACCGCTCGAAAAGAAAAATAATAACATTTTTGTCGAACCACGATTGTCACGTGGGCTTGCAATCAGACTAAACTCCCTAGCATCATATTTTCAGAATATTTCTCATATTTATGGTTCTTTCTTTCTTTTTTTTCTTTTTTTTTTTTTTTTCTTTTTGAAACAGTGACTTTAGCTAGAGCGTCGACGATTTCATTGTCGGATATTCCTATATGGGATGGGACCCAGAAAAATTAAAGAAAATTATCGCATAACTAACCTTTTCTCGTGTAATATGTCATACTTTTTTTTATTTCTAGAATACACCGATTGGTTTCGATATCTGCAATTTGGAGTCTTTGCAAGAGGCTTAGAGAATCAATAAAAATTAACAATTTTTTCAAGTTCCTGATTAAGATCGGTGTTATTTATGATTGCAGTCGTTATCGAAGTCATAGCAGTACACATTGAAATGATTACAAATGAATTGAGTTGCGATTTATTCTTGAATGTGTTAAAGAGACTTACAATTGCGTTATAAATGATAGAATTGCTGTTTGATAAAACTTTGACTAGGTATGAATTGCATAGGAGTTTCATCCGCTCTCTTATTGGAATAACCTTAGATTCTGCATGTAATATATTGATTGGGGTGCTCCTACGATAATCCATAGCGATTCTAATGGCTGTAGCCTGTATTTTTTCAAGCTTCTGTGAAATATCTTGACGTTTAGGAAAATATATAATCGAGTTGTAGTCTATGGCGGAGCAGGCAAGGCTCTTGTACAAAGTGATTAGTGTTTCGGAACTTGACTCCCACTAAGTGCCGCATAAAAACTTAATTATGTTAAGAGATTTCACGCACTTTCTTTGGATCTGCTCAACTTGCGGAATAAAAGACAATTTGTGGTCAGCTATAATGCCCAGAAAGCGGACTGCTTTGTTGGATTTAAGAATACAGTTATTAATTTTAATTTGATCATTTCCTGGTGGTATCCTTTTATTATTAAAATGTAATAGCGTAGTTTTATTTGGCGTTAATTCATGGCCTAGGTCCAAAAGGTTTTGGCTCAGCTTAGAAATGGTTTTTTGTATTATATTTTGACCTCTCTTGGCTGACGAAGTTTTAATATATACTGCGATATCGTCCGCAAATTGTGAGATAGTTACGGTTTTATGTAAGTTCATATTAATCTCCGAGATGTATGATATGAACAGCAAGGGGCCGAGGACTCCTCCTTGAGGTACTCCTTTATGCACAAGCCTATAGTTTTCGCCTAGAGAGTCTGTATATACGTGTCTTTCATGTGTTAGGAATTTAAGGAAGCGATATTACCTGAACATCCAATTGCAGCTAGTTTATGAAGCAAAATATCAATATTAACATTGTCGAATGCACCCTCAACGTCTAGGAATGCGACTAATATTTCCTTCCTTTCCGAAAACGCTTTGCTAACTTCTAACGTTAAGTTTATCAAATTGTCTACACGCGATCTCCCTATCCTAAAGCCCTGTTGGCTATTAGGGAATAGATTAAGATGCTCGGCCCACGAGGGTTTCAAAGAGCTTGCATGAACAAGTGGTTAGGGAGATCGGGCGTGGGGTAACGCCGTTTGCCGTTTTTATCAAGTGTACAAAGAATTGTTCCCAGCTGATAGGGTAATCTTTTTCTCGCACACTAGGTTAAAGATATCTATTAACTGTTTATCTACTAAATTTAAATGTAAATCTACTAAATTTGTTTCCAAGTCGAGAGAGAGGGAGAGAAGAAAGAAATAATGAAAACGACGGAAAACCAAGCTGCGTTTGTATAGTATTTAAGTACATCGATCAATCAATGTTTCTTTCCTCTTTCACGCGTTTCTTCTTTTATACAGAGTTCCGCGATAAGTACCTGGCGATCGCGCTTGTGCTACCTCGATAATATTCCATTTTCTCCTTTCCTCTCTTGTTCTCTTCTTCTATCATCTGCCTTCCTTTCGTTTGTCGTGTTCCGTATCCCAATGACGTGGTGTAGTCTGTTCAGAATCAATTGATCTCTCGAGGCTAGCGCGGAGCTACCCCCCACCATTTAATTTGGCTACTGCTGCACTCGAATCTTCTCGTCTTCACACCCCACTCACTTGTTGCAGAGGAAATCTTGAAATCAGTGCTGTCTACAGATGGAGTTCTTTGTACAGTTTGGTCGTATCTTCTATGCTACTGCTATTACTGATGTATATCAGTGTGAATATCTATATTGTTATACTGAATATCTATATTATATTCCGTATTACATGGAGTAAAAGTGGAAGTGACTTGGACAGCACTGAGTTGGACTTATGTTCCCTGTCTTAAATGCGTCCGTGGGTAAAATCGAAGTTGGAGAATGTAATATTGTTCTAGGAGATTTTACGTAAAGATGGTAGTTTACGAGTGAATAATCAATTGCGAACAGACCATATTTGTCGTCGTCGAATACAATACAAAGGTCCTAAAATGTAGCAGCAACGCAATTCGTGCTGAGGAAAGCTACCAAACTATTTACAATGATAATTTACAATTATGTCTGAACGAAACCTCGGCAATGAAGAGCTCCATTTCCGCTTGCAATTAGGATTATCGTCGGTGAACAATTTCCTTTTAAATTCATGCACACATCTCTTTCTCTCTTTACCTGTCTGATTTTACTTTCTCTCTCTTCCTTTCGTTACCTCTTTTCTATTTCTTTTCAACTAACTAATATTTATGTGCAATGCACACATACTCGTCGACACGACGATCGAACATGTACCCTTTCTTCCGTTAGTGACTAAATCATTCTACTTATCGCCTCCATCTCTACCCCTGCTCAATGTCAACCCCTCGCTATACGCAACATATGGTGTAGCTTTCTAGTATCGTGCTTCTAGATCTCTCCAGCTGAAGAAAATTTAAGGTACTTGTTGAACATGATTGTAAATGATTTTTGGAATATACACGGGCATTTAGTAAGATACGTTAGTAAGGTGTGAAGTTTACGAATGAACAGAATTTTTCAGTTTAACTTTGCCCCTCTCTAGCTCTTCTTCCACAAATGACTCCAATCACGCCTCTAACAGAGGGCAAGCAGAGAATAGGTACCAAAATCAAAAGAGCTACAAAATGACCAAAGAAATCCCCACGATCTGAAACTACCTTGGATGATATATTTCGGCAACTACAACCAGCCAAAGACTTCGTTAGAGCCAATGCGAACAGATACCCTCTCTCGGTCTTGAAAGAGTTACGGAATTCCTACATGCTTCCTTCAAAAATCCTAACATTCCCGAAGCTGCTGCAAATTTTACAACAGACATTCCCGCTCTTCATTGTTATCGAATGTAAAAGAACTTTTCGCAGAGCGTGCACTAAAAAGTCGCATCACTAGGATAGCTAAACGACTTAGAAAACTCCGACTTAACCGATCTCACCAGCGACGATTCAAGTATAGTAGATGAAACTGAGATAGAATCGTCGAACTATTTGTTAACTATCTAATCTGTGCGGGCACTTGCGAAATCACTAGTAACACTTTAAAAATAATGTTGTTGGACGTTAGAAGCATTCTACCACGTCGACGTGAAATTGAAAAGGTACTTAAGAGTCTGGATGTTATAATCTGCGTTGAATCCTGGCTCAATGCACAAAAACGAAATCCAATTTCCAGACTTCCTAATGTATAGGAAAAATAGAATGCACGCTAGAGGAGGTGGCATAGTTATATTCATATGGAAAAACCTAGCCTTTATCGAGATAGGTAACGTTAAA